GAGGATTTTCTTCCCTAAACAAGTCAGCTCGACTCCCTGAATTTGATACAAGCTCATTAACAAACTGGTTGTTGCATTCCATTCTATTGACAGCTGCCTACCAGTGCTAAAGTTCTTGGTTTGTGCTGGTATCAAACACTATTTGCTGAAGACTTATGACAGGAGATTCTTCAAACACAGACGATGCAAATGCCTTCTCCATTCAAAATATTTCTAGATTGGTTCTATCCCTTGGAAACACTGCTTGGTGCAATCCTTGTGTTCTATCTGTGTTAATTGGACCTGGAATGCTTTTTCTGTCTAATTTGTATTTGCTTTCTGTGGGAAATTGGCTCGAAAAACACAGTAAAAACGAGTATGAGCAGAAGATGGTTTTAGCACTACATTGATTAATAGCAGTGTAATTTATGTAGAATGATTGGTCCTCCATTCAGAAATGATCTCTCCGATGTTCCTAAGCAGTTCAATGGATCCCTCCCGAAAAAGATTTGGATCATTTTTTTTAAAAAGTCACATATTTAACATAATTATTTTTGAAGCACTGTCCATGAAAATAGCTTCATGTACATAGAACCCTTCCCTGGCTGATGCATTTTTGAGGAAGAGGTAGCTCAGTGGTTAGAGCACTCGCTTTGCAAGCGAGAGACCTGAGTTCAATTCCAGGCAGGGCGAAACCTTGGGCAAGTTTCCTTACTCCACACGCCTAATAATAATCCCTCCAAAACCAAAAACAATAATAAATTGGTCATTTTCAATCTACGACTGTTTGTGGGACACTGCTGTGCGCAATTGGCTGCCGCGTTCACCCACAAATATACAGTCAATTCACTTTACAGTGTGTTCTGTGAAGCGCTTTGGGACGTCCTCCCGACGTGAAAAGTGCTATATCAAATGCAAGGATTATTATTATTATTAAATCAGGCTTTCCACCTCCAAATCACTGTTTTGTTGCAAGCATCAATGCACCATTTCCAGAATTCTATCTAACATATTAAAGAAACTGTAACTCAAGGTCTCTGCATTGAGATTGGAGTGAGGCCACTCCCATTAAGAATGTCTTCAATGTCAGAAGGTTGTGGGTTCAGGCCTCACACCCCAACTTCGAACTCACAGTCTAAGCTGACATTCCAGTACAACGCTGAGGATTTGCTGCATTGTCAGAGGACTGTCCTTTGGATGAGATTTTAATCCAATGTCTGCCAGTTCAGGTGTTAAAGATTCCGTGGCAATGCTCGTAAAGAGCAACGAGTTTCCCCGGTGTCCTAGCCAACAATCCTCCAAATAAAGTTGGTCATTCACTTCATGGTGGTTTGTAGGACATTGCTCTGCACGAATTGAGGTTTATTTTGTAGGTGAACATGGCAGTCAATTTGTAAACTACACTTAACGGTAAATCCTGTGAAGCATTTTAACACAGATGTGAAAGCCATCATTGTATCAAATGCAAGGATTATTATTTAACCAGACAATTCAAAATGGTCTGTTCTGGGGAATGGCGCAAGCTGTACACATCTATAAACTGAACATCAGTACTCCATACAAATAAACTAGCAACATTGGGAAACATCCATGACATTCAAGACAGTTGCCAAGATGACTTAACCAGAGATGAAACACTGACGTTGGACCTTGTATGATCAATACTAAGCACTTGAAGATAAAATTTGTGGGCACTGTCCGAACATTTTTTGCCTCTGAATCAGAAAGTTGTGGATTCAAGCCCACTTCACGACTTGGCACTCATATAACAACAACTTGCACTTATATAGCGCTCTCCACACCGGGCAGCATCTCAGAACTCTTAACAATGGTGGAGCCCAAGGCCAAGCCAGGGGGAGGGGGAAGGTGACTGTAGGTATGGTCAAAAAGGAAGGTCTTCAGGCATGACCTGAAGATGGGAAGGAGGGGATGAGGCGAAGGGGTTGAAGGAGGAAGTTACAAAGTTTTGGGGTGCAGTGGCTGGAGGCACGGCTGGAGGTGGAGCGGAGGATTCAGGGTAAGCGGAGGAGGCCGGATGCACTAGAGCAGAGGCAGCAGGTACTGCTGTGGGGAGAGAGGAGGAGAGAGATAGGGGGGTTGCCAAGGAACGGGGGGATTTAAACACAAGAGTTAGGATCTTGAAGTCGAACCGCTCTGTGACAAGGAGCCAGTGGAGTTTGGCAAGGACTGGAGTAATCGGGCTACAGAGTTTGGTGCAGGTGAGAATGCGTGCGGCGGAGTTTTAAATAAGCTGCATTTTGTGAATAGTGGAGGAGGGGAGACTGGTGAAAAGGGCATTAGAGTAGTCGAGCCAAGAGGTGGCAAAGGCATGGACAAGGTTTTTGGCAGCTTTTGGGGTGAGGTATCGTTAGAGACGGGCAATGTGGCAGTGCTGGTCAGGGACCAGATGTGGGGGAGGAAGGATAACAGGGGATCGAACCAAATGCCTAAGTTGCGTACGGGTTCAGAGAGTTTTAAGGACAGGCTGGGTAGTTGGGGAGGTCGTACCCGTGGGACAGAAGACGTCAGCGGGAGCCAAAGAGTATGGCTTCCATCTTGTTGACTTTTAACAGCAGGAAATTTGCGCTCATCCATCTCCTGATGTCCGACAGACAAGCTGACAGAACATCAAGATAATCTAAGATGAAAGTACTGGGGGAATGCTGCATTGTTGGCGATGCTTCATTCTTTGGTTAAAACATTAAACTGAGCACCTGTCTCGAGAACTGAGGACATCCTCCCGACCTGAAAGGTGTTGTATAAAAGCAATTTGTTGTTTTTGTTGTTGTTGTCCACTTGCTCAGGTGGACATTAAAAATCCCATGGCTCTATTTGAAAAGAGAAGCGAGTTGCTCCTGGCCAACAATTCCCTAAATAAAATCGGTCACTCATTCTATGGCTGTTTGTGGGGCATTGCTGTGCTCATGTTGACTACCATATTTGCAACAAAACACAGAGTCACTCCACTTTACAGTATATCGTGTGAAACGCTTTGAAACGTCTTCCCATCATGAAAGGCACTATTACTAAATGTAAGAATCATTATGTGATAAACACCAACGTGCTTCCTGTCCCTTACTTCAACATTCCATTCCGGAGTCTCTCCACCTCATCCTGTGCCTCCTCACCTTCAAATCCTGCCTTACGACTATCCCTTCAAATGCCCTTTTGGCCAGTTTCCTTCCACCGCACCACCTATTTCAGCTCCCGCTTTGAAAAGTCTTCCTAGTGTGAAATATGCTATAAATACATGTTGCTGGTGTTGTTTAGTTACATTTTTTTAAAAAAATCAAACTTCCAGTTTACAAGATTTATGCAGCAACACATCAAAACAATAGCTACATGTAGCACAGTGTTAGTATCAGCTGTGCTCCATGCCTGGAAAGGAAGGAGCAACCACTGTAAGTTACCAAACAAAATATAATCCTGTAATGAGATATTTGGTATAGCGCCTTTTTCACATCAGAAGGACATCTTAAAGTGCTTCACACGAATCACCTGAGCAGGCAGATGGGAACTTGGGTGAGCAGCTCATCTGAAGGCCAGCACCTCTGACATCCCCATGCTCCACTAGAGGGTCATTTTAGACTATGTAAATTGAAGTCCCAATGTGGTATTTGACCAAACAACCTTCTGACACAGAGGGTAGAATGCTACACTGAGCTTAAGGTGACCCACAAATATTTGTAATTCACTTTACCTGAGTCACTCAAACTTAGCAAAGGGAGGGACTTGAATGAATGAAATTAAATGCATAAAGGAATGTCACTGAACTTGTCCTTCAAAAGCAAACAGCTCTGTGTTTTTGGTTGCACTAATACCTGCCTCCACAGGCTTTTCAGCTTGCTGTTTGATTTTGCTCATTGTTCAAATTTAATCTACCTTTCTTTTAAAAGATTATTACTCACATCTACTAAGTACTCCCACTACTTGGTTAAAGTTCCATTGTACATTTTGAAAAAAGAGGGGAGTTTCTTCAACATTCCCCCCAAATAAAATTAGTCATACATTTCATGGAGGTTTGGGAGACACTCCTGCACACTTCTGGGCTGCCCCGTTAGCCTACAAATACATAGCCACTTCACTATGCAGTAAATCCTGTGAAGTCCTTTGCAATGTCTTCCCAATGTTAAAGGCACTGTACCAATTATAATGATTATTATTATTATAATAAAAGTCTGTGAGTTTGAGACCTGCATGAGGACCCAAGTTCATTGTCTACAGTGCTGAGAGAGCGCTGCGTTATTGGTGGTGTCGTCTCTTGGAATGAGACGTTAAACCAAGGTAAATACTACTAGTACTATAGCAGCCATTCTGGTAAATCAAATCTTCCACTCAAGCAGGCAGAACACTGATCACTGACAGCCAGTTTAATAACTCCGTGTAAGGGTTATCCTCTTTGTTAGGATGACCCCAAACTTAAAGCAAAAGTGTCTTGAACTGAGATTGGTGAACACTGTTGACTTAAAGAAGATAGAAAATAACATACCACTTCCATTTTATACATTTTGAATTCAACGCCCTTTCAACAGAAACTCGAGAACAGAGAACTCCAAAACTTATCTGATATAAAACCCAAAGTTCCAGAAAGCAAATACATTATCAGATCTTAATATAAATATTTTCAAAAGGAGTCTAATCAGAAGACGCCATATTATTAATTACTATGAAACAGTATTATTAATAAGTATCTTCATTCCACTATGTCTTGCACCTTCCAAAGAAAAGTCGTGTGAAATTATCTGTGAATGGCCTCAAAATTATCCTCTTAGAAGCACATTTAAAACTCATCTGCTCTGTACTTAAGGATAGATCGTAATACAAGGTTTGACTGACTAGGAATCACAATTTCTTCTGGTTGATAGAATTTAGCTGAAATATTTTTTAAAAATGAATTAGAACAAAACTCTAGCAGGGCCCATGCAGAGGTAGCAAAATGTTTCACAACAATAAATGAATATAATCAATATTTTTTCTATAGGCGATTGTACAAGTTTGAAACAACACATGCAATATCTTACCGATTCAAGGCAGAAGCATAATGAAACTTAATGTGAAAGTTGCCCACCAGATCACAGGTCGGAAGCGTTTCCAAAGTTTCCACCAATGTTATTATGGCATCGTAGTCCTTGGTAAATAAAATCAAACAAAATAAGGGCATAACTAATTGCAAATTTAATTTTAGAAATTCTTTACAAACTAGTACAACAGATCTCTTCAGATAAACTATTGTCTCTTTTCATCAATAGTACGATAATAACATAGAAGACAAATGCCTGATAGTATCATTTCAAACTGAATTTCCATCAGATCCTCCCAATTGAAAGCAGAATGCTTTAATATTTCACAAATAAAAATTTTGTAAAGGTTCTTACAAAGTCTAAAAATTATATGAATGCACTTTTACTCGAATCAAAGGCACTGGGAGATTTTAAAGTGTTTGGGGGGAAAACAAAGAACTTTACAGCAATTCTAAGATTGCAATGCTCACCCTGATTTTAGAAGCACATTTTAATAAAATAGTATCTTAGATTTGAGTAAATACAGTTATTGATTCCCACAATTCTAACACAGAATGGATGCAAAAGTAGAAAACTACTGCCATCATACTCACCTCCCACTAGGCCGTTCAGCGGGACAACAATAATCTCAGTTCACTCAATTCCTCAAACTGTTTTGTGTTAACAATTAATAATTGAATTAATCTTTCAGTGTTAAATTGTTTTCTTTTTTTTAAATTGTATCGCTGGAACATTGACTTAAACCATTTATCCAAACCACAACAGTTAAAAACCTTGGTATGGACAAATGGGAGCGATCAGGGTAGAATGAGCAATTATTTGTTATACAATTTACAGAATAAAATGCAAGAGAAGAATTATTGAAGTTTTAAACACAAATGAGGTCAATAACCTCAAGTAATACATACCTGAATATCACGGTAAGAGAGAAGTAGATTAATTACAATATCGGCAGAGAGAAGCTCAACATTGTCCAGGCGTTTTCTTATTCTTGCTAGTTCTGAGGCCAACTCTTTGCCACTGTAAAGTTCACGAGCTTTCCTGATGTCATCCAGAATGGTTTCTCTAAAATACTGACTGTGATAGAACAAAGCACGTGCATCATCTGGTTTGTAATACTTACGAGAATGAACAGTTAGATTATATGTAAATAAAATTGATCACTCACTTCAAGTCTGATTGTGGGATACTGCTGTGTGCAAATTGGTTGCTGTACTGCCCACAAAAAGCACAATCAGTATGGTCTTTACAGTATATCCTGTGAAACTCAGGATATGCCCTTCACAGGTACCATTTACTCCGCTAACCTTTTCAAACACATACTGCACTGAGGGCCTTAGCCCTTCATCTATATTCTCAAAAAAGACATACCTAATGATCCATACCTTAAAGGGAACCTTGGGACATCCTTGCAGCATGAAGGGTGCTTTATAATTGTAAATTTGTTGTTGTTGATTAAAGGGTCTAAAGAATTGAATCAACTACAAAATATCTATGCTAGAGTATCTATGCAAACAGCTAAATAAGCAATTGGAAAGATTAATGCAAAAATTGGCTTTAAACAAAATTGTTTTCCTGGGGAATGTATTTTTCAATATAATATAAATAGTGCAGAAAGATAAGATTTGAATAAAGAATTACCTACCAAGAGCTGATGTGTGTAACTTTCAGCAGTTGAATGAAGCGATCCACTAATGGCATGCAGATAGGCCCAAGCAACAATTCAAAATTCGGCTGCATTAGCTCAGTCAAGCCCTTCATGAAGCTGCTCTCACAACAGTACACCTTGTTGTGTGGAGTGACCATATATGGTATAAAGCTGTAGTTTCCACAGGGCGTCTGTACCAAAAGGAACAGTTGAACAATTGTCAGAATCAGGACTCTCCAAATTTAGAGAAATTTTCCCTCTTTTTTTTCCCTCCTCCCTGTTTCCTTATCCTGACAAGCAATGCATCAACTGTAACTTCTAGGCATTACATCCAGGTAACTTTTGCAACTGAACGCCAGACGATGGAACTTGCCAGGAGGTGCCAGAAGACAGCTGCATTGCGAACAACAGGGCATTCTACAGAGCCCTGTGGAAATCACAAACTGATCTATTGTAGTGTTAAACATAAGCAATGAGAGGTTTCAAAAACTTGTCAACAGATATGTTATTTTCTGCACATATGGATAAGCAGTGTTAAGCAGCAGCAGAGCAAAGTCATTTTATTCTGGAGACAGTTTGTTCTCATAATGAATAAAATAAAATGCTTGAAATTCTAGGTCAACATGATATGCATCAGATTTTATGGGCTGGAGGCAGACACAGCCTCTTCCCCTCAAGAGGACAAATTGTGCCTCTCGCCTGTTCAACGTGATAAATATCACACTGAAAATTTTACCCCATCGTTTCGAAATGCAGGGTCACTCCATGGACAATTCTGGATGAATACACAAGTTTAGCTATTTTTTAAGCCTACAGGCCGACCCTATTATAAAGCAGCTCCCAAGAGGGTGAGTTCACTAATAATGCGGGTCTCCCATAGATCTGCAGTTGCTGGATGTATGAGCCAGACACGACAGCTGTGACAACCCACAGCAATTTATTTTACACATAGACCCATTATAAAATGGGATCTAATTTTATGACACCCAAGTCACCTCATTTATAACAAGGTTTACAGTGATTTCAGATTCAATACATAAATTATTTATTTTATACTCTTGATTCACCTGACCATGTTCCGCACAACCTTAAAAACATGAATGTTGAGAACATACTAAACCCCAATGTATGAATCTGTAAAAATACATTTGAAAAATGTTCCTCTCATTAGCCAGTCTTTACAGTTATCATTGTATCCATGGAAATATTTTAAAAAGGAGGTTTCTCCTGATGTGATGGCCAAACATGGCTGTTTGTAGGACGTTGTATGCAAATAGACAACCATGCTTGTTAAAATCTATTATTTTCAATTGTGTAAGTCTTTCAGAAAAATCTAGCCTTAAATACCACTTTAATGGTGAAAGTCAACCAAGGCAAATACTGGTTAACCACCTTTTCACAAAGCACTTGGTATGGATAAAATGTATTCATGACTTGTATAATAATAAATCACAATCAATTTGGAAATTAGGGATGCAATGTTGTTGATATTTTTCAACTTTGATACTTTGTTACCATGACACCAGCTCTAGCTGTAATACCAGCTGGTGAAATGGTAAAAATAAGATTCTGGTGAGAAGGTGACCAAGCAAAGCTCAAGTATTAAGTTCCATCTTGAGCCAAAAAAACACAAGTCAAGCAGGATGAAACAACAATGATAATATCCCAAATCATGACTCTGAGGAACAAGTAATCAGCAATACAAAAATCTCAGACATTTAACAGTAATCAGTTGGGGAAAAAAGTTCAAAGACAATTTCACAGACAATTTATGAACTTGAGTAGATTAAAAGGCTCAATTAACAGTGTGTGTGTGCTTGATGACTGGAACCCACAGAAGGCAACTGTTGAGATCTCAGCTGAGAAAACAGTACCTCAATAGCCAAAGATGAGATAGTGCAAAGGTATGCTGAAAGACCTGAATAGAAGGACATTAGGCGCATGAGCCGACAGAAGGAAGAACAGAATGGCAAAGCATAGTGGCATTATTAGTCAGGATGCTTATAATGTCTGAAGTTATTCATACATTTTAAGTTTATCTGGGAAATGGATACAATATTAGGCTTAGACCTGCATAACATTACTGGAGTGATTTCTGAAAGTAAAAGGTAGGTTAACACTGAAACTTAAAAAACCCATAAAGGTGAGCTACTATAATTTAATAGCTGGCATTGACTTTGTACTCATATAATTTGGGCTAACTTGTACAGTATTCATTTAACATAAATCGAACCATTTGAAATTTCAAACGTTGATCTTTTAAAGAGATGAGGATGTCTCATCTTAATTTCCTAGTTTGTACTGGACCTTTACAAATTTAATTGTTTTCTGTGTCATTGTCAGCCAAGTAAAATGCCAAACAGGAAGTCTCTGACAGAACAGCACTATATCTTAGTTTTCTACTATACTACCATCACTTTGTAATCAAAATTAGCATACTTATAGTTTAAGATATTCTTAATTTTAAGTGGTAACTTTCTGAAAACATGTGTGAAGCTTAGAGTGGTTTAGCACAATACACGTTGTATAGGAAAACACACTTTCAATATTTCTTTCATTGCTGTGTCACACATAATTTGATGGAAACAGACCAAGTAGGGGTTCTGGCTGAACAATCAAAGTTCCACTGTAACTCAGTTTTTGTTATGAATCAGCATTTTTAGCCGAGGCAGGCAGGTCTGCAGTACTCTAAGGTGCTGTTAATGGACAAGCAAGTCTGATTCTTTGCTGGATTTGGAGGAATAAATCAGTTCCTGGGGGCTGTGATTCTTCCTATTCAGTTCCAGATAACCCTGGAAAGGAACCTCTAACCAAAACTTCAACGAGAATAAAATTCACTCTCATCCTCGCACAAATTCCCCAATGTAAATATGTTTTGAAAGTGTTCTATTATCTGGGCATATCACTTTAAGAATTAAGCACAATTAAGAAAGAACCAATATGCAGAAGACAGGAAGTATAAAAAGGAGACTGGGAAAAGAGTAGGTGGTGTGGTTATTATTGTAGGTATGGTTATGCTTTGAGACACAATAAATTGAATAACTGAACAACAAACCTGTGCTTTGGAGTACGTCTTATTACTATTATAGGAAAGCCCCAAAATAAATGCATGCAACCAATAGCATGAAGCACAGCAAAATAACTTTATATCAAATCAGCACTAAAATGTGCATTATTAAATGGTCTATCTGATTTGAAGTAAATCAAGCATACTTACACTATTCTTCTGGAAAATAATTTCCTGAAACAATAACACAAAGACCAATCAGATATAATTATTAAGCAACCTAATCACAACTTGAGGTTCTTTCTGCTTGCACACATCTGGAAGTACATAAATTATGTTCCACTTTAATATGGAGGAAACAGTAACTGGAGTGTTTGAGCAAAATAGAACCGGCATCAAATGCAAGGGTTATTATTTGGGCCGAACGGCCTTCTTCTGTGCTGTAAATTTCTATGGTTCTATGTTTTTGCAAGGAACTAAAAGTTCTACAGCAAACTGTCCCAGCATGTGGAATTTCCCCTCAAAATGTTTTGTCATAGCTTTCATACAGTGGAGAGAAGTACTTTATGTTGAACTAACTCTCCCTACTTCAATACTGTGTATTGTTTCCCTTTCAGCATTCTTTCAAACATGCAAATTATTTTGTGATTTTTGTTTGTCTTAAATGTCTGAAATGCCAAGTCACACCCACAGAACAAAACATTTCATAGTTGAAAGTTGCGTTGCCAACTTATGTTCGAGTGAAGATACGCAAGTGCAAATTCCTTATTTGAACGCAGAAATTTGTGATGCAGTTTAGTTACTGTGCTTCAAGTGAGAACCTCTGACTCTATGTTAAGTTAAACATTATCTACGAATGCTCAATCACTCCCTTTATAGGCATTACCAATGAAACACAAAGACAGTTATGTTACAAACACAATAATAAATGCAAGAATTCTTATTACTATTAAAAAGAGTTTCTGGTACCTAGTGAGGGCTCAACTTGTGACTATTCTCCAGGGCGCAGGGGGTTGGGGGGGGGGGTCTCATTGGAGCTGAGCAAGGAGATATGCTTGGCAATACAATGTCAGAATCGAGTCCACTCTCTGTCGTGATCTGAGAAGTGCAGGGTTTGCAGTACTCTAGGGTGCTGCTTATGATAGCACAACCAAGCTTATCGGCAGGACTTGGAGGAGCAGATCAGTCAATGGGGGCAGGGACTCTTCCCACTTAGCTTTGTTTAAACCTGCAAACCAAAGAGTGGTTCCAGCTGGATAAGCAGCGAGAATGCTTACCAGACAGTGCTCTCATTGGCAAACCATGTGGTTTTAACCAGTTATGACTCCAGCAGTCCCCAAATGCACACTCTGGGGTCCCCAAGCCTGGGCTCTTACCAACCTGTGCCTAATACTCTCTGGAATTAGATAAACAGGATGCAGGGAGAGTGTGCATTCCATTCTAATAAATATCTCGGAAATTTCCAAGTGTAGATGGGATGCATGGAACTCTCAATTTGGATACTCTTAAACATGGTAATGGTTTCCACAGGTGTCAGACACCCAGTTAACCAAAAAGAAATCCATTAAGAGTAATATCTAATTGACATTGACAGTAAAAGCAGATTATTTACTGCTAATAAGGCGTCCAGTCACATTCAGGACCAATTAGCTGTTTCTTGAGGTATGTAATTAGGTCAAACTTCTATAAAAAGTGTATTTGACAGTACCTTCCCTTTGAATTATGTCTCAGTAAAAGGAGATGGTTAATTGCTTAATGGTCTCCTTAGTCATAAGAGTGCACGCCTAGTGGATTCCACTATAATTTGTAAGTTATTTACTGCCATTTCCAAATTTTACAGAATGACGCATTCAAATCACGCAACCCATTAAAACATAAACAGGAATGTGTGCACTAAAGGTAATCGACCATGTTGATCCTCCATTTACAGGGATGGAAGATAACAATCTGTTGATCCAATACCAAATTGTAAAACCAAGTTGACTTTGCAGACTCAATTCAACAATTTGCCACATTAAAACCTAGGGTAAAAGGTGTCGAGTTACAATGAGTATGAGTGGCTGGGAAAATCTGAGTTATATTGCTTCGAGTTGAGAAGATTAAATGGTGCTCTGATTAAGTAATTTAATTTAATGAGGGCAATGGACAAGCAGGATCAACATATAAATGATGACCCGGAAGAAGAAAAGAAGAAGAAACTGCGATTGGAAACCACCTAGATTTCTATTGTGTATTTTATTAGCTGCAGTAAGCAAGTGCTAGAAAATAATAACTTGTGTACTGTACCTGTAATGACTGTAGTGAGTCAGAGTTTGTATCACTGTACAAAATGATATTATTTGCCATGCTGAAACTCTCTCGAACTCCAAGATGATAGAAAAGGGAAGGCTGACGGAAGGCATCACTCATCTCTACCACCGCAATACCTGCAAACAAACAAATAGCATATTATTTCAACTATACAATCCCATTTCGCCCACAAAACATAGTCACTCCACTTTACAGTATATTCTGTGAACCGCATTGAGACGTCTCAAAGACATGATAAGGCGCTAAATCAAATGCAAGGATTATTATAAAAACTAATATTGTTAAATTTGAAAAATGTAAATTCCAGCACAAAAGAAAAACATTGAGCTCATTTCTTTGAGCTCAGAGTCGACAGACACTAATGCTAGGGGCAGTACAGTCAGATGTGCTAGCCTTGACAGTATATTTGGTAAAGCTCTTTGAGACATTTTGAAGATGTGATAAGGCGCTATATCAAATGCAAGGATCATTATTATTATTATTATCTGCCTGTTCAGGTGGGTGTTAAAGATCCCATAACACTATTTGAAATGAGAAGGAAGTTTGGCCAACTAACCTCTAGATAAAATTGGTCACTTATTTGATAGCTGGTTTGTGGGAAATTGCTATACCCAAATGGTTGCCCTGAGATATCAACTACTGTATTATTGCATCACTGAGTCTTGCTATCCATTTCAAATAATGTTATCACTTAAGCAAATTATTGCAACAGCCATTTTAATCTTATCTGGCTCAAATCCATCTAATCCCACAAGGTCAATGCAAAGAAAAATTGATACCAGAGAAATGTGCAAATCTCATTACATTATGATGTGCACTATAATCCAATTCTCATTGCTGTCTGTAGGGCTTATTTATTGTACTAAGACAAATCTGCTCTAGGATGGAATAAAAACATCTTAAAGGCAACAAATTTAATAATTTCTTATAAGACCAAGTGCTTAGAATTCATCTGCTCAGATTGTTCCCATCACTACCACAAACCAGCAACAGACTTGAAACCATCAGTAATTTGCCCAAGTATTGATTAGCATTAAATACTCTCTTCTGATAATATTCTAGAATGTCCATCTCATCGCCGACATTCAATCCAAGCTGAGTGTTTTTACACAAATAACAATTTCTCAAATAGTACAGTGTAGGAGCCATTCTGCTCCAAGAAGTATTGATCCTTCACTGTCAACAGTGTCAATACCATTCCTGTCCATACATCTTGCATTTTTTCACAGAGTTAATCAATAGTACATTAAATGCTTTTGTTGGGAGTCTGTTCAAATAATCAATGCTGTCTCTTCATAACAGAGAGAGTATAGAATACAAACATCAATTAGGCTTGACTGATGGAAGAGAATCCATTTCAGTGCCCAACATTCCTCTCCTGGTGAATAGAATGCTTTGTTAAGTATTCTTTTTTGTGTCCGCCGGGTGTCTGATACATGTGGAGATCACCATGCTTATGAGGATTCAAACCAGACAAAATTCCATGTGGTAGGTGGCATGCATATGTGGAAATTACTCCATATGGAATGTGCTCTCTCTCCCTGGAGGGATGCATCTTGCTTATCTAATTCCAGAGAATATTAGGTACAGGTTGGCAAGAGCCAAGGCTTGGTGACCCCAGTGTTTGTGTTGGGGTACTGCTGGAGTCTAACCAGCTAAAACCGCAGAGCTTGCCATCAGGTACTGTTTGCTGCTTGTCCAACTAGGACCACCCAAGCAATCTTTGGCTTAGAGGGTTAACAGCTTAGTGAGAATAATAATAAATTACAAGTCATCTTTTGGCAAGGTTTACAGCTTAATTTGAATCATATTTACTGTCCTTATACAGGCTGACCTTGAACAAATTCAGCTTCACACTAAGGACCAGCTGAATTTGTTCTTAAAATGTGTCAGGCCATTCATAAGTGAGGTTATCAGCGACCAGAGTACCAGTCCTCAGAAAAGTCACTGGTTGAGAATCACTAGCCTGAAGAGGTTTAACAGAAAAACATGTACGAGATATCGTTCCCCAGTTTGTTCACATTGTTGTAGGAGGAAAGGTGTGTGAACTGAACTATGTTCACCAGTGTAACATCTGTGAGAAGACATTGCTGAGCAATTGCTGAGCTCTTTGGCTAGAGGCTTACATCTGCCAGTTTTGCATTTAAAACAGAGTGAAAAGGAATCTGAATACAGATGCAAAGATATCAAAGATATCAGACTGACTGAGAGACAAACCAGGCACGTACACATGCATCCTGCCAAACATATCCAAGTATCGTACAAAGAACATGGGAAATGACAGACAACTATGTTTGAAATATTTCCTGGATCATGATCCTACACAGGAATTTAAAAAATGTCAGGTCGTCTGGAAAGAATGGGCAACATTCATTACAGTTCCAAATACCTTTAGATTTTCTAAATCGTTTTGTGGTTAATACACCACCTAATGTTTTTGCTTCTAATGCAATATTTGTTGCACGATCAACTGAAATTACAAGATTGAAAACTGGGTAAGTGATGGATGGGGGGATGGGGAAGGGGGAGACAGAGAAAAGAGGAGAAATTTCACACTACTCTAGACTTGCAGTTTTTCATAGCGTGCAGAATTCAGCAAAGGCTTAAATTCATTCTTAATTTTGAAGCGGCCTTTTCTGTGCCTCCACCCTCGACACAAGGACCACTGCAGTCCTGAATGATTGTCTGTCAGAAATTAAGTCCTGGATAAGAGCCATCTTTTTCCAGTTGAATGTCAATAGGACAGAGGCCCTCCTACTTGGTTCCCATCAGCACCTCGTCACCTCAGGCGCTGACAGTATCACTATTCATGGATGGATACATGAATCTACACCTCACTGAGCCAGTCTGGAAACTTGGTGTCCTGTTCAGCCCTCAACTGTCCTTTAAATCCTACATCCATGCCATGACCCATTCTGCCTTCTCCCACCTCCACGTCTTGGCCACAACCTCTCCTCAGGCTGCCAAGACCCTCATCCGTGCTTTCATCACTTGCAGGCTTGATTACGCTAACTCCCTTCTCGTCAGACTTCCCAACATTTCTCTCCACAAGGTGCAGATTACTCATATCTCTGCAGCTCATGTCCTGACCTGCACCAGTCTCTGTGAGATGATCACCCCAACCCTCTCCCGGCTTCACTGGCTCCCCATCCCCCAGAGGATAGAGTTCAAAATCTTCGGCCTCGCTTTGAAAGCCTTCCATGATCTTACCTACTTCTGCAACCTACTAAAATATTACAACCTGTCTGCTCCCTCCACTTGGTAGGCACTGGCCTGCTCCATATTCCTCATCCTGCCTGCCCCACCATCGGTAGTTGGGTCTTCAGCCTTTCTGCCCCGACCCGCGGGAACTCAATCCTGGAGTACCTTTGCCTCGCCTATCCCTAACCCTAAGTCTTTGTCTCCTTAAGGGCCCATCTCAAGAACTGCCTCTTTGACAGTACCTTCAATCATCCTCCCAGCCCTCCACTCCTCTTCATTCCAACCCACATCAAACTCTCGACTGTCCAGTGCCTTCCAAAGTTCTCCTGACGTGAAAGGCGCTATATAAATACAATTTGTTGGTGTAGTTCTTATAAATGCTATGAAAAATAATCTAGAACCAAGTGGAAAACCCCACCCCCAAGTTTTAAGAACAATTCTCCGTTACATCAACACATTTTTATGGACTGGGGGGTCATTGGGGCAGATTTTCTTAGTGCCAGTAATTTTACCTCACACTTAAGTGAGCTATTATAGTCTAGATGCTCAGGGTATAAATAGTGATGGTTAACATGACTTCCAACGTTCTATTATAGGTTTTAGACAGCAAAACAAAACTACTAAAAAACTATCTATTGAATTATTAGGGGCCAGATCCATTGAGCTTGAATAGCGTTGCAAATCCCACTTTTTGAAGAGGCATAATACACTAACAAAGTTATATCACAGCCAATAGGCTTAACCAAATAAGTTTCATGTTGGTTTTGTAATTCCTGTCAGGATTTCCATTATTGAAGGACAAATATGAGCATTGAAGCGATACTAATGACCATATCAAACCAGCTAGTCAATATACAGCGTACACCAACCTATTGCCATTGCTTCATTATTCTGGTCAAGGGTAATATTGTTATGAAGTAAGTTTTTTAATACAATATGTTGTATTTGATGAAAGATTGTTGTACGTCACTGAGGGATCTAGAAATTGTAACAGTTGCAACAAAAGGCAACACATTGCAGGTATCAAATCTGTGCATGAAACATGAATGAACTGTTGTGGACAAAGAAGCACTGTGTAAAAAAAAGGTCAACAAACTGTACAAAACATCACACATAAATACAAGTACTTTTGAAAAATGCAGACATAAAAATCTGGCCTCAAAGTTGTATTACAGTGAATTAAACATAGCATTATAAAGAAGTCACTTACAGAGAATAGGCAATTGACAAAATTTCTAGGAATTACTTCCTTTTCAGTGAATATAATCCCTTCAAAATAATTGTGTACAGGAATTGAATTGCCTTTTGGTGCAGCTGTTACAATGTGCCTGTCCTAAAGTAAATAATAAGCAAACAACGAAATAAATAAGGCTCTACTTCTCTGGATCCATGTATTGCTTTACCAAATAGCTATCCGATTCCCTCTTCAATTAGCTGACAGAAGTACGCCCTAAAAGATTTTGACTTCATGGGGATATAGAAAACATATCCACATATATTCTCCATCATTGTAACTAGGTTTCCATTGATAAAAATCAGTATTCTTCAGGCTTTCCAATTTTCTCTGAATCAAGGTAACACAATTGCATCGTTACAAAAATGTCCCGACTTCTGAGGTAAGGTTGCCACAGACTTTGCTTCATTTGTGCATCTATGCAATGAGTAACATTATCCTTGCTGCCCAATGTACAATGCCCACAAAGCAACTACCAGAATTTAACCATTTTGTAATTGAAAAGATCTCTAAAATAAAACATCTGAAATCAAGAAAATGTAAAATAAACATGAATGTTATCCGTCAAAAAATGCACAAGATAAATGTGAAACTTGCAGCTCCAAACGTGACCCAGAGATACAATACAAAATTACATTTGTGTAGAAACAAAAACAGAAGTCGCTGGGAACACTCAGCA